CTGTTGACTCATGTTCAACCTGTGGTCCACCTGGATTCCTAGATCCCAACCCCCTGCTATACAAATAATATTTGTAAGACTCTGATGTGTTTTAAGACAATGCTTCTTAGGCTATTTTATGTTGAGGACTGGCTTTTTTCTACCTACTATGCCAGGGATTGATGCCATAGTTGTGTTCATTGGCTACAACTCTTTCTTTCTTTCCTGGAAACTTACCAATCACCACTTCAAGTAGCACTGCTCTAAAATGCTTGGTTGCCTCTTCTGCAAAATCAATGGGCCACATCTGAGTAGGTTGCCAATGTGAAAACTGGAGAGGGCTCCTCTACCTTACATGGTTGTGTAGAAGAGGAAGCTTCAGCAAATACTGCTGGTTACATGAAAAGGAACACTGGCTGAAATTCTTTCTTCTAGGCAACCATGAAAGGCACAAGAAGCCTCTCCAGCGTTCACTCTGGCAACCTTAGATGACAGCCATCTTTTGCCCAAAGATTGATCACCCTCCATCAGGCAAAGTTGTGTCTTTTGGGTCTTTTCCCATCGTCCTGGGAGCACACGTCCCAAGGAGCCAGCCAGCCCATGCTGAGCTGATATCGTGGCAACAGTGGCGACAGCAGTGGCTGCAAACGGGGTCATTGGAAGAGGTCTCTCAAGACAGGCATGCAGCTCTCGCTGGCTGTGACAAGGGAACATAGTGTTCGCCTCAGTGCCTCAACCCAGATTCCATTGGCCTGAGCAATCCCAGCTCCAACAGGGAACAATTTCTTCCCAAAAGGCCCAAGGAGCGACAGGACAAGGCTTTTCAGCAGGGTAGATTAGTGATAGCACTGATCTTAAAAGTCACATTCGGGTGTTGATGAAGAGAAAGGCCAGCATTTGGGTTAAACAGAGACAAAAATTCAGACTATCCATCCACGTGTTCTTTCCCTTGCTCTCTTTTTAGACAGACATTTACCATCTGCTGCTCCTTTCTCCTAAAGCCTGACCCCAGGGCTGAGAAAAATGAGTTATTTGTTTATGGGCAGAAGTGGGTTGGCTTCCCTCCAAAAGGAGCTTGAGAGCTATAGTTTGGAGGACCATGCAATTCTGTTCTGTGGAAGATCACCAAGCTGCCTTGCAGAACAAGAGGGCAAAATCCAACATCAGAAAAATCGAGTGTAACTTACACTCACAGAATCCCATGACAATTGTGCCTTAGTGTATTGCAAAGGGGCAAAATTCTGCCTCCACCTCTCCTCCATGCTGAGTTACTTGAGCACAAACTGTATTTGCACTTTGAACTCAGTTTGCAGCAACTGAAGTAAGCTGAAAACAAAGGGGGGAAAGTGGGAGGAAGAAAGAGAAACTGGGACATTTTTTAAAAACAGTTGAAAAAAGTGGGGCAACAGGAAATTAATCAGGGCTGCCCATACCAAATGAGGACAATTGGAGGGTTTGCCTGTGCAAGTTTGCTTCTGCAGCCTTCAACTGAATACAGATTTTTGTGTTAGACAAAAAGGGCCAACTACTTCTGAAGGAGAACCTAAACATGCGTAGGTCACTGTTTGGATGCCAGATGCATTTTCTAGAATTCTAGAAAACAAACACGATACACCTTCAATGTTCTTAATTCCCTGGCTGCTCCATTCCCATCATAAGAGCATAAGAAGCTAACTCGTTTCTTTGTTGGTTGACATTCATTTGTTTGTTACAAGTTACATTCTGACATTCCTTCCCTGAGCTCCTGGCAAGAGTGGCAGCAAGTGGCTTCCAGAGGGCAATGAATCCACTCTGGCTTTTAGCCTGAACTTTAATGGAGTGGTGCAAAGTACTGATCTCATCTTCCTAAAATAGGTTCAGCACCTTGGAAAGCTCCTTGCTTTAGGAGCTACATCTTCTGTCGCTCCCCTCTGATTTAACCTGCAGCATAAGTACTATTAAAGAAGTTGTGGAAGGAGGTATTGCGTACCTCCTTGCATAATGTCTTTGCCCCTATGTGTACAGGGCGACTTCAGCTCCTGAATACAGCTCCATCTCCAGTGGCTGCTTTTCTTTTCCAGAGTATAGCTATGCCCTCTTGGCCACTGATTGGCTGTAGGGCTATACCATAGAGTTGTCTAAAGGCTTGTCTACATTACCTATATACCCCCAATCTCCCCCCCCCAAGCTAACTGCATGCTGTTTACAGTTGTTGTTGTTGTTGTTGTGCCTTCAAGTCATTTATGATTTATGGTGACCCATGGAGTTTTCTTGGCAAGATTTAGAATCGCAGAATCATAGAGCTGCAAGAGACCACAAGGGCCATCAAATCCAATCCCCTGACATGTAGGAATACACAATCAAAATACCTCCAACAGATGACCATCCAGCCTCTGTTCGTCCAGAGGGGGGTTGTCATCGCCTTCCCCTGTGGCTGAGAGCATGTGACTTGTCCAAGATCTCCCATTGGGTTTCATGGCTGAAGCAAAGCAGCTTCATTTATATACTGCTTCATATCACGCTATGGGATGTCTAAGCGGTTTACAACTGTAAGCTCATTGCCTCCCAACAGTTGGGTACTCATTTTAGCGACCTCGGAAGGACGAAGCCTGAGTCTAGCCTGAGCCCTGGCTAGTACTGAACTCGCAACCTTGTGGTTTATGAGAGAGTGGCTGCAGGACAGGCATTTAACCACTGCGCCACCAGAGCTGGGAATCGAACCCTGGTCTCCAGAGTCACAGTCCAACAGACAAACCACTATGCTCTACGCAGGCCCAAAAACCCAGATCAGGTCCATACTGTTTCCACAATGCCCAGACTCTATTCAGGTTTTCCACCCCTTGTCCTGCATTAAAAAGTTTTACCTTTTGCTCCTGGTTTTCCACAAAACTTGGAGCAAAATGTGGTGATGATAGGCGGCTACCTTTCCATACAATCCATCTGTGGACATGAATCTCTCTGAGGACAAAACAAAGCTGGGCACCTCATTCTAACCTCAGAGCGACTTGTGCCCACAGTGGTGGTGGCGGCTGGTTCACAGGGTCCACATGGGAAGGCAGCCACCCATTGTCACCACATTTTGCCACAGCAAGTAAGGCGAGAATTCAGGGCCAGAATATTCCAGGAGCAAATGTCGACATGCCCTAACTGTTGTTATCTTACCCAGGAGAGAAGAAACAGCTACTGCTGTTCTTGCGGGGAATAGCTGCTTTTCCTTTCCAGGTGCACATCCACAACCGATCAATGACTGAGAGGAGGCAGAGTGGAGCATTCAGCTGCCTTGGGATGCCCAGAGGAGCAGCCGCCACTGTCCCCTGAGCACCATCATAGGTCAACTGATAGTAATTTTTGCTTGACATTGTTGTTGTTATGTGCCTTTAAGTAGTTTCTGACTTACAGTGATCCTCACAGGGTTTTCTGAGGCTGAGAGTATGTGACACACCTAATGTCACCCAGTAGGTTTCCGTGGCCAAGCAAGGAATCGAACCCTGATCTCCAGAGTCACAGTCCAATGCCCAAACTACTACTACACCACAGTGGTTCTCATTGCTTGACATAGTAAGATTTATGTCTTGTTGCATCTTGGCTTTAAAGTTTGGATTAAAACCCAGAGTGGAATCACCGAGCTATTAGCATAGTAATAATAATAATAATAATAATAATAATAATAATAATAATAATAATAATAATAAATTTTATTTTTACCCCACCCCTCTGAGCGCAATCGCGGCGGCTAACAAAAGTTAAAATTACAAATTATATAATACATCCCAACACCCTCCCTCCAGTGCAGGGGGCTCTCCTCTTTTCCAATTTATCCTCACATCATCCCTGAGAGGAAGGTGAGGCTGAGAGAGTGACTGGCCCAAGGTTCTCCAGTGTGTTTCATGGCTCCATAGGGAGCTGAACCAGGATTTCCTGACCCCCGGTCCAACACTTCCATCGCAACACAACACTGACCAAGCCATTCTCCATCTGGACCAGGGCCTACTTGCTTCAATTGGTGGTGAATCTCTGGAATTCTAAACCAGAGTCTTTCCCAACCTACCTGAAGATACCAGCACTTGAACTCTGAACCTTCTGCAGGCAAAGCATTTGCTTAGTGGTTCAGCATTGACCAATGTTCAGCTGACTGGCCATCTGGTTGGCTCAATTGAGAATACCCAGTTGGGTTGAGCCTGCAAATGTTGAAAGGGAATCTCCTGAATAGCCCCCGAAAAGGAGACACCAACCACAACATAGAGAGACAAAAATCTGGTTCATGTGGGGCCAAAGAATCTCAGAGGAAGTTGCTTGTCACCTACCAAAGCCTAGATCCATCTCATAGACCAGGAGTAGGCAAACTTTTTGAGCCGGGGGCCGGGTTGCTGTCCCTCAGACAATTGGGGGGCCAAAGCACCAAAAATAAATAAATAAATAAATAAATTTAAAAACAAATTTAAAAAATATACATACACACTCTCTCAGCCCCAGAAAAGCCATGGCAAAACCCCTGTGGAAATTTTGCCAAGAAAACCCCAAGAACAAGTCATAACAACAATAATCAATATCATCATGGCGGGCAGCGGCGCCGGCGGCAGGACCATCCTGGGGCCGGTCCAAAGGCCTCGGGGGGCCGCATCCCCGGGCCTTAGGTTGCCTAACCCTGTCATAGACATTCAGAAACAAAGCTCCCCCTGTCCTCCTTTTGGCAGAAGGTAGCAAACCAGTGATGGATTCATTCACAGTGGATCCATTCACCAGGAAAAATGGGGCAGACCTTCTGACGCTGTCGCTCCTTGGCTTTGTCAGAAGGTGAGAGCACAGATGTAAAGTGAAAACCTCCAAGGAATCAAGGTTTCTTCTGCTTTCCTGAGTTTCTCTAGGTGGGACGGGACAGCAAGCAAGATCTCTGTTCAAAGTGGTGGTGATAATATCCAAAGCCTTAAATGGCTTGGGACTTTGATACTTGAGGGACCACCTCACCCTCATACATCAAGTTGTCTGAGGCTGAGAGTGTGTGACTTCCCCAAGGTCACCCAGTGGGTTTCCATGGCCAAGCAGGGATTCAAATCCCAATTTTCAGAGTCACGGTCCAGTGCTCAAAGCACCATGCCACACTGGTTCATACTAAGAGCATACCCCTGAACATTTCACAGATGGAAACTGGGACATATGGGGCCAAGCAATATCAGAGTTATGAGCAAAATGAAAAAGGTATCAATGAAGAAGAAAACACAAGCTAGGAGAGGCTGCAGCAGTTTGCTTTTGCCTGGGCCTACTGGGAAGGGCAAGATTCTGCCCCTCCTGTCCTCTCTCCCCACAAGTTAATGGAATGCACACAACTTTGAATTCAGTTTGCTGCAAGTGCAGTAAGCTGAAGACAAAGGTGGGAGGTGGGAGGGGAAGAAAGAAACTGGGACATTTTAAAGCAAAGCAGCTTCATTTATATACCGCTTTATATTGCGCATGGGATGTCTAAGCGGTTTACAACTGTGAGCTGATTGCCCCCCAACAAGCTGGGTACTCATTTTAGCGACCTCGGAAGGATGCAGGCCTGAGTCGAGCCTCAGCCCTGGCTGGTATTGAACTCGCAACCTTGTGGTCTATGAGTGAGTGGCTGCAGTACAGGCATTTAACCACTGCGCCACCAGGGGAAAAAGCGGGATGGCAGATTAATCAGGACCGTGTCTGCCAAATCAGGACAATGGAAGAATATGGGGCTATATAAGCCTGTCCAAGAATTGGGGTCTTCTTCTGTGATCCCCAATGAAGGCAATACAGTTGGGGAGGACACAGCAAAGGGTCTTATCAGCTGTGGTACCCCATTTGTAGAATGCCTTCCTCTTGGAGGTTCAGTTGGTCCCAACACTGATTTCTTTTCAGCAGCATGGCTTTTTATTATAGCCTTTGTGAAGCTCTTTACTTTTATGCACATACATAGTTTTAAGCCAAAAAATCTTTTTCGCCTTTTAAAAGCTCTTTTAACTTGTCTGAGGTTTTATCCTGTTCCAATTATTTATTGATTTTAATCGGACACAATTTAAATTGTCTATATTGTCGTGTCTGTTTTCTCCCCCCCCCCCCCCCCGACATCTCCCGGTAAAAGGCAGAATAAAAATACTGAATAAATACACGAGCAAACAAGGAAGAACTTGGGGAGGGAGAAAGAGATGTTCCGCCACTATCGTGGCTGTCAAAAAACTGAGAAACAATGTGCATTTTTCACACAGAATCCGTCGGAGAAAGGCTGGGACTTGGCAAGTCATCCATGTTCCTTTTGGCAAGAGATCATCGCTGATCCTAAAAAGGGGAAAATTGGCAGTAGATTCAGCCAACAGCTGTTTGAAACCCAGGACACTCTCTCTCATCCGGACTGTGTTGCTTGCCATCGCACAGTTCTCTTTTTCCTAGGGCTTCCCTCCTCTTTTCCAGATCTAGAAAAAGAAGTTCTCTTTGCTCCAGCCCAATTTCGTTTGGTCAATTGCTTGACTGATTAATTTATGATTGTAATGAATTGGTACAAAGTTTTCGGGGCAGATTTCAGCAGCTCAAAATGATAATAAAGCAGCAACCAAGAAATAAACTGCGCAATGAATTAAACTGGCAGAGGAGACAAAAATGCACCCTCAACCATTTCACTGTTGAAAACCAGGACACATGTGGTCAAGCAACATTAGAGTGTGGTCTGAATGGCAAATGCTATAAATAAGGAAAGGAAGAAAAGCTATGGAAGGCTGTAGCAATTTGCTTTTGCCTAAGCCTGCTGGGAAGGGAAAGACACCCCCCCTCCATGGGTTATTTGTGTGCAAACTGCTTTTGCACTTTGAATTCAGTTTGCAGCAAATGCCAAAGATAAAAGGGGGAAATGAGGAGAGGAGGGAAAAACTGGGACATTTTAAAAGCAGCTGTAAAAGTTTCCCATTACAACTGGATGGGTAACCCCTTCTTTCAGTTCATACTCTCTCAGTCTCAGAGGAAAGCAAGGCAAACCCCTTTGGAACATATCTTGCCAAAGAAAACCCCATGATAGATTCACCTTAGATATGGAAATGACTTCGAGGCATAAACAACAACAGAGCCCTTCTTTTAGCTGCAAATGTACAACAGCTTCAGTTATTTTGGTGCATTCCAGGGCTAGGTCTGACCTGCGAACGCCTCAGTCTGGAAACAGAGCTCAGCTCAGCCTCCAAATTCACATTCTTAGAAAACCAAGGGAGGGGAAAGTTTGGGAGGTGGAAAAACAAACAAAATATAGTCTTGGGAGAGAGACTCAACCATTGCCCTGTGTTATCCCTCAAGTCTCCAAGCAAACGGCTTGAGCACCTCTTGCCTGGGCCTTTTGGTTTGCCTCTGCATATAACCCCCCTCCAATATCCAACCATCTCTGTAGTTTCCCAGGATCACTGGAAGGATTCCCCCAGGTCCTTAGCAAAAAGGAAAAACATTCCCGTTGGATGAAAAGGTTTGGTTTGGACCAGGAGCAGAGTATAAAATAGAGGAAAAAATCAGGACGCAAATGCAGAGGTAACATGCTTTTCAAAGCAGGGTTGTTTGCAGCCAAAATCCTATTGCTACTCCCAACTAGAGTAGACCCATTGGATCAGGGCAATTTGTCTATGTGTTGACTGACCATTCAACAGTTGATCCCATGGCTCTACTCAGCTCAACTCTATTTGGCTTGGATTAAGATTCAAGCCGCTGCCACACTGCAGAATTAATGCAGTTTGACACCACTTGAACTGTCATGGCACCATTCTATGGAATCTTGGGATTTTTTGTTTGTTGTGGCAGC